TCCAGCAAAGAGTTAAAAGCGATGTTGTGCACACTGAAGTGGCAGAAGATGCTTTCTTTAGGTGTGTTGTCACGCGTGAAAGGTCTAATCTGTTTTCAGGTACAGTCTGGGTTTCTAACCTTTGATCTGTGAGTGGGTGTTTTATTAACACATCTCCATAACAGAAACACCTTGCCAAGGAGGTGTTTGATTCTCATGTTTGACGCAAGGCAAGTCACTTCCACCTCTGAACATCTGTCGTATCACTGGTTTTTCCCTTGGGTTACTATCTTATGTAGAGAAACAATAATGATAAAATGCTCTCTTGTTGAATTGTCATTTTGAGATTTTGGTGCTCTCTTGGCTTATTTCAACCAAAACAAAAACCGGTCTCTCAAGGAGTGTTATATTCCCACCATGATGTTAAAAAAAAAACAAAACAAAACTTTTGTATGGAACTTTATAGAATTTAAGAAATTCCATATAGTTGATTCCTATATCTTTGGAAGATTGGGATTTTTAGTAGCCCATTCTTAAATATTATAAGCCTCAGTGTCAGAAGTTACACAGTTACAGGACCACACAGCCAGCAACTGGGGGGGTGGGGGTCGCAGGCTGTGCACCACCGGGTCCTTCTGTGGCAAAGCCAAGGTGCCTGTTCCTCTTTTGCCACAGTGAGGCTAAGAAATCTAACGCGTATGGCTCTATTTTTAGAACTGCAGTGTCCAGTGCAGGTTGTATGCTGGTCCGTGGACGTCCTGAGTTCGCAGTCTGCTTTATCTCCATTTATAATCTCAGTCAATCAGTACCCACCTCCCTCCCTCCTTGAGAACTTCCCAAAAGCCACATCTGATTTTTGGGCCACTTGATATTCTTACTTTCAGCCAATTGTATTGCCCTTGCTTAGCCATCACTATCATACGCAAATTTGCATGTCTTCAGCTCATCTTCTTGTCTTCTCTTTCTTTTTTCCTTCTCTCTCTCTCTCTCTCTCTCATTTATTCATGAAATATTTATTGTGCAAATATTGGCACTTAGCACTTATCTGTCATTTTCTTCTTGACATTCAAAATGGTTAGTTGGACACAGATCCTGCCTTTAAGAAGCTTATAGTTTGCAATCAGTATGGTAAAACTGAAATGAACCTTGTTTTTTTTCTCTGAACACATAAAAAATTTGCATTTAAGAAAATCTTATGCATATAGGCAAGCTCAAAAGAAGAAAAAGTGCAGCCAGGGTAGTTTAACTCAGAACTAAAGCCTCAGTTGACCCCCCACACAAACACACACACCCCAGACTACCACAGGAGCAGATATATTGTGCTTTGGGGATAAGGGGGAATTAGAATACAAACTCGAAAGGGAGAAAAAACTTAAAACTCCAACAAGTTTGGGGCCTGTGGTAAAGCCCCCTGCATAAATCCAGGACTCAGCAAAGAGTTCACTCTCTACCAACAAGCACAGTATAACTCAACCAACTAGTCAGCCCAGGGACATAACAAAGAGGCAGAAAGAAATAAGAGACTCTGCCTATACCGTATAATATGTGAAACCTAAATTTAAACTATATGAATCTTCCAAAGAGCATTTCAGCTGATAAATTTACATAAAAACTGGTCTAGAACAAGGAAAATATTTATACTCACGAGTGTTGTAAATGCCAAAACTTCCTGTAGAGTCCCTTCTACAAACCAGTATTCATGAGGTTCACCCAGAAGATCAAAATAATGCAAAGCTGCAAAATAGATATGCTTACAATATCTGTCAGTGTAAGGACATATATATTCCATAAAGAGGAAATGTTTTATGAAAAATAATGGATTTATTTGAGAAAAAACTAAAGTATTTCTGAGCTCCTCAACATGATAAATATTGCCACTAAAATTAAAATACTGTACTAGGTCTGAAATGATGGATTAGAAATAGAAAAATTTAATTGGAAGATAGATCTGAGAGAAACACTCATAATGCAGTGTAGAGAGCTGAGATAGGAAATATAGAAAGGCGGTAAATGTGGAAGACACTGAGAAGGTCCAACACACTGCAAACAGGAGCTCAAAAAGGGAAAATGACTGGAATAGGATGAAGATACATTTAAAGAAATAATGGCTAAGGACATTTCAGAACTGAAAAATACTTTAATCTTCAAATTAGATAAGGGCATTGTATCCTGATCAGGAGAAAGAAAAATTAGTCTGCAACTATAAAACCTCATAATTAAATTGCAGGTATCAAATAAATGGGAAAAAAAAGCCACAAAAGAGAAAATGCAAGTGTCTGTCTTATGAGAGAATCACAATTAGACTAACTGAAAATTTACTCAGAAACTACAATGAAGGCCCAGGAATAGTTGGCAACTGTCCTTAAAGAAAGGAAATTGCCTGTCAAGCTAGAAATCTATAGCTTTTTAAACTATTCTCCAAGAATGAAGGTGAGATTCAGACCTTGTAAGAAAAATTGAAACTAAAAGACAAACTTCTTTTAGCAATTAACCACTCCTGAAAAACTAATAAATATATTCTTCATTAGGAAATTAAACCTAGAAGAGTGCAATGCAAAAAGTGATGGTAATCAAAGAAACACATTGGTTGATTGAAACAAATGTGGCATGTGTAAGCTTGAGAGACACTCACTTTAGTAGTGATTTGAAGACAAGTTGAAATGGACATGCTAAAAACAGTAACATGGAAGATGGGAGGCAAGAGGGCAAAGATAAAGCAGCCTAAATTTTTTGTTTCTCATGAAAAAGTTATTGATTACCTTTAGATGTGTTTAAGTGTCAGAGTTCTTAAAAATTATTTGAAGTATGAAAATATATTTTCATATAAACATAGATACATATATATGTGTACATATGCACACACACACACATATATATATACAGAGTCTGCCAAAAAAATGTATAAATCAGGAAAAGAGAAACTTGTTATAAATAATTTAATACTAAATTTGTTAAGACAGCGTGGGTTTAGTACATGTTACCTTTGGCCTCTACAATTACAAAAGGTGCTCAAAGTGGTGGCCGTGAGCTTCCAGACATTTATTAGCACAGTGAACTGCTGGAGTGTGTCTACATTTGGCAGATTCTGTATATACCTTCTAGATCCAATAGTCGAGCACAGGAGTTTTAAAAAATTGATCAACCTAATTAAAGGGAGGAAAGTAGAAAAACACAGAAGAAAAAAAGGTAGGAAAATTAATAGAATGGAAAATTCAAATATATCAGTAATAATGATAAATGGAAACAGATTAAACTGAGCTATTCAAATACAGAGACTGTTCAAGTTTTTTAACTCTGCTTTCTGCTGTTTTGAAGACACATGGGGTAGTTTGAAAATAAAGAATTGAAAGGAAGGGGAGATATCAGGCAAGCCATAAAGAGAGAGAGAAAGAAAGGGGGAAATGGAGGAAGACTTTAAGGTCAGAAAAACTTTTAAGGCAAAAAATATTATCAAGAATGACATTGAGAGCTGGATATAGTGGCATGGGCCCATGGTCCCAGCTACTTGGGAGGCTAAGGTAGAGTCAATTGAGCCCTTTTAAATTTTTTTGTTTTGAGACAGGAATTTGCTAAGTTGCTAAATTGTCTAGGCTGGGCTCAAACTGGGTAATCATCCTGCCTGGGCCTCCCAGAGTGCTGAGATTTCAGGTGTGTGCCACCATGCCCATCTTACATGCTACTTATAGATACATGTATCATAAAATGTACACACCTGAGAGAACATGATAATCCCCCAACTGAGTGGTTCCCTTGAAAGAGAAAGAGATGGGTCAAATCAAGGAGGAAGACAGAATGGGCCTTAACTTTCGCATGTTCGAGGAAAGATGGCGACAGGATGAGCATTTATTCATATTGGTAACTGTGGGTGGTAGATCCATGGCTTCTGCTACGATTTTGTATGTATGTTTAAATTCTTCCTTGGTTTCTGCTATTATTTTGTGTGTTTAAAGTGGTTTCTTAATTTAAAATAGCTTTTAGCTAATGGTTTGAGAAGAGAGATACGTAATAATAATTCAGAGCAAACTGTACTGTGTTTCATCATGGGGCCCTTATAAATGCACTCAGAGTTGAGCTGTAAGATGTGTCAGCCAGGCTGGAGTCCAGATGCCTCCTGGAAGACGGATGGCAGCAGTGTTTTCCCACAGATCTCTGTCTCTTTGGCCTGTCAAATCCTTCCCCTTTTTCTCACTCCTAGACTTTTTTTTAACTTTTTGCAGTCTGGTCATAAATCCTAGTTACTTGGGGCCTTCCGATACGTTTTTACTTTGAAGAAAAACATCTAAAAAATAAAGTGATACCTTACTCCTTCATGAAAGAGAGGAGAGTAGCTTCTGTGGTCATGTAAGTGCAATTTTTATGGAAATGTGGATCATGGAGAGAAGGGATTGCTTGACTGTGTATCTGCAAATGTGTATACATGGTGCTGAGGTCCTGTGTTCTTTGCTTTGTTGATCAGAGCAATTCCACTTAGGGTTCTTCTCAACCTTAACAATTTTTTAATTTCCCCTCTGAAATCATATTGTGGCAAATAGTTAACATATTGCACAATCTCAGTAAGGAAGGCTACGTGGAACCGAGACTGCCCATAGCTGGCTTCTGCCCAGCATCTGGCCCAGTGCTCTCCTGGTAGCCAGGCAGCGCTTAATGCCTGAGGCCAGAAGGGGCAGGAGTCTGTGAGCTTCACCCCATCACAGTGGTGTCTTGCTTTGAGTGTGGTCTCACATGACACCCGTGGACGTCATTTAGCAGAACTCTCAACAGAAATTGAAGCGTGCCATACTTTGAATAGGGCTGGGTTCGGTGCTTCTAGTGTGTTCTTACAGGGTACTAGGAGATGCACAGCAGTGATAGTCTAGAAGCAACTTGCCAGTCACTGTGAAAGACATCTAACTTGTCTTTAAAATACACATCTGCTCCATGGTGAATCCAAAAGGCATATTCGGACTCCAGTCTGTTACTAAGCCGCCTGGGTCTGATCGTGAGCCTTGTGTTCTTAGATGTTTGCCACTTTTCCTTTGCAGAGAGAAGATGCATCAGTCTGCCATGTATGAACTGTGCCAGGGGATGCACCAGATCAGCCTTCAGTTTGTTCGACTACAGCTCACCTTTGAAGAATACACCATAATGAAAGTATTGCTGCTTCTAAGCACAGGTATAGTGATGTTCACTCTAGCACTTGTTCTGCATTGTCAGGTCATCTTCCCTGTAGGAGAGTAGACCATTTTGAGTGTTCAGGTTGTTGGTACCAAAAATAATAATTTCGAAGTGATGGGAGGAGGATGTTGGCCTTTGATGAACTGAGTTACTTGCTGAGTGTGGAACTTTGTGCATGTGAAAGAGCATAGCTCCTCATCCCTGCATTCACCCAACCACCAGATGTTCACTAAGTACCTGTTGTGTGTATGGTAGGATCTGACCATTCAGGGAACACAAGATGAGTAGTGCAGTTTCCACCCTCAGGGAGTGTATACTGTAAGCCAAATTCAAGGGCAATTTTAATGCATCGTAAGAAGTGATGTTCTACTATGACAGAAGTAAGCAGAGTCACAGCGGCTCGGAGACAGCAGGGCACAGTCAGTTCTGGAGTTTCAGATTGGATCTAAGGCTCATGATGCCCTTCCTGTCGGGACAGCATGGCTGAGTATGATCACGTGAGAAGCATGTATAAGCCATAGCACTTAGTTTGGCAGGGGAGGGGGCTGCCTGTTAATTTTTAACTTTGTATATGTATTGATTTAATTTTTCAAGGTGCATCAGAGGATGTTGGGTCAGGGGAAGTGGGGAATAAGGTGAGATGTTGCTTGGACAAGATTATTCAGTGCCTATTGAAGAAATCTGAATGATACCAGATAGGCAGAGGAATACGGCATAGAGCGAAGCTCTTCTTTGGGGCTTCATGGAGATGTATCTAGCAGTAGAAGGGACTGGGGTGGGGGCAGTGGACAGAGACAGAGCTCAGTCTGATGAGAAGCACAGGGAGCTGCTAGAGGTTGTGAACACGGGGCCTGGATTTATGACAGTTGGTTGCATGATAGACAGGGAGCAGGTACACTCAAGAAACATTGCAGAGTTGGCCTTGGCCATTGGCCAGAAGGAGAAATAAAACTGATATAAGTCTGAAATGACACAGGTTTTGAGCCCAGAAAAATGACTGCCATAGTAGTGATGCCACTAACAGAAGTACGTTGGTGTTGGGACATGGAGAAGATCTCATGGAGCATACAAAGAGTTCTTTTTTTGATGGGTTAACTGTTTGATGCCAACTCTGTATAGGCATAGATGACCCAAAGATGGGGGAAATCTGGGGCTAGAACTTGGGACACAGATTTGAAATAAAATTATCCTTAAGGAAAATTGTAGTTGAAACTCTAGTGGACGTAGAGTTGAGGCAAAGAGGCAGTGGAGCCATGTTAAAGGCATGAGGCAGGCCCTGAAGGGACAGAGACTGACAGCCTGGGAGGTCAGGACCTGGGAGCGAGTGTCCTGATGGAAGCCAAGAGCCAAGGCTTCCCAAAGCGGGTGTGACTACTGGCATGGCTTCCGCAGAGAAAATCCAGAGGGCAAGAAGGCTACTGGAGTTGCCTGTTAGGCATCTAGCAGGTGCTGGACAGCCACCGACTTGCAGATTGATGGGAGGCTTTTTTAGGATCCTGGAAGAAAAGAATTCAGGGCAGAAGGTGCCAGGGAAGATGGGAGGACAGGGCTTGCCGTGGCAAGGATATCAAGTACCCGTTCCTCAGACCACTATATAGGAATTTTCAAACAGAGGGGAACAAATTTGTTCACAGGAGGGAAGGGTGGGGCCCAGAACAACAGCAGGAGACAGTTCAGAGAGTACACCTCTGAGGCAAGTGCTGTGGCTGAGGGAACCGAGGAATGTCCTGGATATCAAGAGCCAGCGGGAAGGCCAAGGCAAGTGGACCTCTGAGGAGAACGTGTGAAGCAGACGAGTGTCTGGCCCTTCCACGCCCAGCCCTCACCTGGGCCCCAATCTGATATCGAGGATGTAGGCAAAGGTACAGTCTCCAGTAGAGTCCCTTGGGGGAAAGTGGCCTCATGAGTCCAGCTGGCCAAGGTGGAGTGGGTCCCCAGACATATTTCCAACCACAAGTGGGTCAGAGGAGGAGAGAGCCTGAATCAGGCAGTACAAGGCAAAGAATAAGAGATGCAGGGCTGGCAGTGGGTAATACTCCTGGCTCCCATGTCCAGCACCTCACAATTTACAGTGTTTTTCCATATGTTGTCTAACTTAATGCTTCAAGCAACCCTGGGAGATTGACAGCCCCACTGTAAAGTGGACCAAAGGAGACACTTGAATGTTATGTGTTCAGCATCCTGCGTAAGTTAGGTCCCAGACCTAGGTCTCTGGGCTTCACATCCAGTGTGATTCCCACCCTGCCAGAGCCCACAGCCCGGGCTAACGCTGCGGTGCTGGACGGCAGCATGTAGCCCAGGGGCCGAGCACAGAGCAGGCGGAAGCGGAAGTGAAGCGGAAGCGGACGCAAAAGCATAGGCGCCATTGCAGAGGGGCGACCTGAGGCCCTGGCAGGGAGTGGGGCCAGCAGGGCACAGCTGTGTTTTGTTTGCAGCACAGGTTTGGAGGGCTGCTTTTGGCCTTTGGTTTTATTTTATTTTGATTGAATCTGATTGCCCAAGGCAGGGCATGTCCTTTCCACTGTGCCCAGGCCCCGCCATTCCTCAGTAGCTGCGCGCAGCCCCACCTCCTCTAGCTTCTGTGTCCCAGCTCCTCACTCTTGAGGATGGACCGGAAAAAGCAGGTTGTTTCTCCTGCACCATTCTTGTTGTGTTGACCACTTTCCTAATTTTTCCTTTCCGGAGTATAACTTTGGAAAAGTCATCTTTAAGGGCCGGGGATTTAGCTCAGTGGTTTTGCCGCCTGCTGCGCAAGTGCAAGGACCCGAGTTTGATCCCCGGTACCAAAAAAAAAAAAAGTCATCTTTAAATTCATTGAAAGTGATGTTAGTCCGCTTTCAAAGTAGGTTATTAATCATTCCTAGTTGGAAAAATGTTTTAAATGTTCTATCAGATGGAGGATAGATTTTAAATGAAATCTTAATTTCTAAAAATGCCTGTGTTGCTAATTCTTTATATTCTTTCATATCCATTTACACTTTCAGCCTCTAATAGATTCTGATATCATTTTGAAGTTCCCTCAATTAATTTATTAGCTTTCAAGTAGCTCATTGCTTTCAATTCTGAACTTTTATACACAGAAAAAATACAAATAGAAGGCAGGAAAATGTAACTAAAGAATTTCGCGAGTCACAGAAACTGCAGGCTGTAGTGAGCTTTATTTTGCTAATCTGTAATAGAATGCATGAAAATGGTTCCTTTTGTTTAGGAGTGTAAAACTACATACCTGACACCCAAGCATATCAAGATAGTTTTTTAGCAATGACATCACAAGGATCTCATGTTCTTTATGCTTATAGAGGAAAACAGACCAACTTCTACCCCTGTTGTGTCTCTGCTCCACTCCAGTCCATAGATTCTGGATGTTTTCTAGCAGCCCTGCTGCATTTAATAAGTAAATTCAGAAACTCTGGGCAGACCTCCAAAAATTGAGGTTTTGCTTAAGTTCCCTTTATTTGTTGGTTTGTTTCAACTTCTAAAAAATTCTGGCTGGGAAATTGGTACAGTATATTTCAGTTACAGCAATAGAATGTAAGTAATAATATTTGACACAAAGTGCTATAATCTTGAGACTTTTGGGTAACACAACCATCAGAAATGGGAAAGTCTTTGATTAATCTTAGTTGATATGTACCAAAGAATATTGGAATAGGATAGTGACATTTATTCACTCTATTTTAATGGCAGATAATTTTTTAATGTATAGGGTTGCATCCGTATAAGTATCTACTATTGGAAAATTAAAGGTTTGCTTTATTCAAGTTTATAACAAAAACATGTTAATCTGTGGATGGACAGTATAGGCGGTTATTTGCAAGCTTTTAATTTTTTTAGAAAGTTTTAAGTTACAGTTAAATTTGGGTAGAAAATTGATGTATAATTTTACCATAAATGTACTAGTTATTGCCATGCTTTTTTGTTTTTATGCTTTTAAAACAATGCTTTTTAATTTTAAAGAAAAATACCCTACTTGTTATATAATGAGGGCATTTAACTCTTAGTGTGAAAGTCAGATACTGAAAGCCACAACTGATACTTTGGCAGCCTCAGGAATTTGTGCAGTTGCCATTAGGAATTATTTTTCCCCTACAGAAAATAGATTTAAATGAACTATAAATCAAAAGTCTCCACAGTTATAGTCATAGAGTTTCTTTTTTTTTTTAGTTCCGGGGATCGAACTCCGGACCTTCCACTTGCGAGACAGGTGCAGGAACCACTGAGCTAAATCCATGGCCCCTCAAGGAGATTATTAACATAATAGTAAAGTTAGGGGCCGGGATTTCGTTCAGTGGTTCCACCACCTGCCTCGCAAACACAAGGTCCCAAGTTTGATCCCCAGTACCAAAACCCCCCAAATAGTAGAAGTTAAATTCCAGGATAATTCCTGTACTTATTTAGGGTAACAGGTTTATTTGGAAACAGTGGTTATGCCTGTAATATTCAAACAATACCGTAATACTTAGAAACTACACAGAGCCATTCCAAAGTGCTGATGACCAAAGGAAATTATTATTCACACCAGTTGTGGAAAAAGTAGCAAATACGATATGTAATTTAGAAGCAAAAGTAAGAGCAGTTTTAAACTCAAAATGCTAATATCACACGATGACTCATCATTAGGTTTTCTTCTCCTAAAAACAAAGTTCTAAGTGATCTTTTTCAGAGTTGAAGCATACGTGTAACTGCTTATTGGCCATAGTGAAAAACAAACGTATAAGTAGATGTTCAAAGTGGGTACATTTAGTCCTTATCCCGTTTCTCAATAAAGTGCCTCCCGGTGAGTCCTGGAAAAGAACATCGCCTTTCACTGGGCACAGGAGTCTGCTTGAAGTCTCAATCCCAAAGTATTCTTTTGTGGGGTGCAAAGGTGCTGGGGATGGGACCCAGGGATGTACACGTGCCAGGCAGTCCCTCTACCACTGAGCTCATAGCCTTGGCACCCAAAATATTCTTAAGTGCACTGTATTTTGTTTAACTGTAAAACCTAGCCACTACATAAAACATAACGCTTAGTTTTCTGTCTCGTGGGAGATAAAAAGTACATGATTTATTCTCTTTGAAAATTTTTAATTTTGCCTCAAATGTGCAGCCACTGTTGGTGTTACCCCAACCCAAACTAGTACCCAGAGCTGCCTCCTGGTTGTTCGGGGAGGTCACAGGACAGCATCCCCACATTTAGGGGTCCTGGAGCAAAGACAGTGGAAAGTGATTTTCTGTATGCAGCATCCTACCCTTGGGAGACGACCATTGCCCCAGAGTGCCTGGTATTTGAACTTGTGTTATGGAGATGGTGCTTTCTAGTGCTAGCCCCCAGTTAGATTACCTGTGGCTCTTCTCCTGTCCTGCAAAATCAAAATACATTTTCCTCTCTTGGAGGTGTTGGCAAATTAGAATTCATAAAATATTTTGATGATGGGCCACAAGTCAGGTAGCGCTGTGCTTAGGGGGCTGGACTCGAAAACACACAGATCTCAGTTTATACTACCCCTGCTCTGCCATTTATTTAGTATGTGCTTGGGCACATGAATCAACCTCCAATGTAGGTTCCTCATCTGGGAAATGAGACTAGTGTAAAGGTTATGTTCTAATACTAGTATCAGGATCAACTGAGCTAATATATGCAAAATAACTTGCATCTGCGACATAGTCGTTATTATTTTGTATATGTGCCAGTGCTTATCAGTATATAGTTGCCATATTCATTCATAATTGCCATTAATTGAGATTTAGTACCCAACCTCATAATCAGTATATGAGCTGAAAATATTCAAGGCCATTTATCTGCTAAGATGCTAAAGCTGTTTTTCATCCTGGGAATTCATATGTCTGTATTCCTTAATGCAGTTCCAAAGGATGGTCTCAAAAGCCAGGCTGCATTTGAAGAAATGAGGACAAATTACATCAAAGAACTGAGGAAGATAGTAACTAAGTGTCCCAGTAATTCTGGGCAGAGCTGGCAGAGGTTCTACCAACTGACCAAGCTTCTAGACTCCATGCATGACGTAAGTAGAGCCCTTGGTTCCTATGAATTGAAGGACAAGCAACCACACACACACACACACACACACACACGCATGCACGCACGCACGCACGCACGCACACTGGTGACCAAATGAAACCGGAGAACAGAGTTTTCAGGGCTTTGGGAGGAGTTGGAGTGCGTTATCCAGTGAGAGGCAGCAAGAGTGAGATCTGGAGGGCTGGGGATTTAGCTCAGTGGTTCTGGCACCTGCCTCACAAGCACAAGGACCTGAGTTCGATCCCCGGTACTGAAAAAAAAGAAAAGAGAAATCTGGGTAAGGACATTTTTCTTTGGATAATCTCTCTTTCGGAAAAACCTCATTTACAACAAAGGGTGTGGCTCTGACTGGGGAAGGCCCTCAGTTCTGCTACAGGTGTGAGATTGAATTTCATATTTTTGCTTGCAATTTAGGAAATGTTTGGTTAATAAAAATGTTTGCTTTAACATTGCATAAATAGTGTCCATCTTCTACCACTGTTAATCTAATCACCCAATCTTTCAAAAACATTATTAGTGGTTCAGGGCCAGCTGGGTTCATCTTATTCTTTGCCAAATTTTGAATCTCATACTCATCATTCTTCTTAGGCGTCACCTTTCTTGTCCTATGTAAATACAGAAAGAAGATTCTGAGCTTGTTTCTGATCTAATCAGTTAAAGACGAAGTTGAGCTATTTGTTAGCAGCTTCTACAAAATGTTGATTTGGATAACTTGCTTTGTGCATCATTTAAAATATGCTTCTTGTTTCACTGTAGGAGCAGCTTTTCCAGTTCTGGCTCGAAGTGTGTTGTATGCAGTTATGCTAAATTAGTCCTTCGTGTTTGTGAAGTTTCCATACTTTCTTTTGGAGAATTTATTATTCAAATTGGGTCTATATGATTTGAATAATAAATTATTTTGCAAATATTTCCTATGAAGGAAAATGTTGGCAGGAACAGCGACCAGTATTATAATAGTGTTCCTATTGAAGGACTGATTCACCTTTAGATGTCTATGCTAGTAGAGTGTTATCTCTCTGGTGCCAGTGGCATAGGGTTGGTTAATGAAAGAATATTGTTTTCTAGGGTTTTACACTGAGACTCTTGCATATTCCTTGACCTTTGCTTTCTCTGAACTTTTCCTGTAAGAAGAGTCAAATTTCTCTCAAGATGAACTCAGTGATAAATACTTTTGCTTATTCTTGGGTCTTTAAAGAGTGATTTTCTGGGAAGTCGTGGAAATCAGAGATGATTGTAGACTAGGCTTTAAGAAGAACAGCTAGTAATGCTCCATCAGAAGGAAATGCACAGGCAACTGGATCCATGTCTTCCCGTGAATGTAATGGTGAAGCCACATAGCACTTACGTGAGGACACAACCAATTCTCTTTGTTCCATTGATTTCATTGGAAGCCCTTCTTAGTAGAGATTAGAATGGAGTCCTGGGGGTTTTTTCTTAGTGAATTTTCTTACTTGTACAGGCAGGCATGAGTGCAATATCTGAAGTAGTATGTAATTGTTATTACAACACATGATAGTAAATCATGTTTTAAAGCTGTTTGCACGTGATGAGAAGTCACAACTTGTGGCTTGCACACCCTTTTGGACTCTGTGGGCCTGAAGTGGAAGCACAGTGGAAGCACTAAGAGGCCACCTCTGAACCTCCACCACTGGCTGGTTTTCAGCACCAGCGCAGTGCATGGCACCAGACAGGGATACAGTGAATAGTAGTCAGACGGGAAGTCATAAACGCTGATTTTCTGTAAAACTTTCCAGGGAAAATTAGTGTCTTTTTAAAATAATCATATAATTAGCATATGAGAATATGAAGGAGGTCAAAGAGCACAGTTCGGTAAGCTTGGACTTCTTTCTGTGCAAGTGCTTGTTAGTGGATAGTTGCTTGTTGGTAGATAGTACTGCTGAAGCTGTCAGCATAGCCAAGAGAGCAAATGTACCTGCCGCCCCAAAGGTTTCCTGGAGCCTCCTGCTCTCCAGGTACTTTCTACTTTGCTTTCTGTCAGTATAGATTCATTTGTCTTCTCTAGTGTTCCACATACAAAGTATCATGTAGGAGCCTTTTTTGTGTGTATTTCCTTCACTGGCTTTAATCATGTTGAGATTTATCCATGCTATTTGAGTATCTAGATCAAAAGTTCAAGGATTTGCTTTGTTTTTCAGGGATTTTTTTTTAGTGGAGTAGTAGCCCACTGTATGGATACTCCACAATTCATTTGTGCACTCACCCATCGTGGACAATGGGGTTGTTTCCAACTCAAGGCTATAATAAAACCGCGCTTGGCATTAATGGACAAGTCTTGGTATAGACATAGACTTTCCATCTTCTTGGTGTAATACCAAGTAGTAGAATGCCTGTTTATATTACAGGTATGTTTTCTTTTTTTAAATAAAAGGCCAAAATGTTTTCCACAGTGGTTGTACCATTTTACATTCCCTTAAGAAGTGCAGGAGAGTTCACATTGCTCCACATCCTAGCTAAACCTTAGCATGCCTAATCTGGTTTTAGCCATGTGGCAGTATCTCACTGTGGTTTTTAATGTGCATTTCCTGTATGACTGATGATGCTGATTGTCTTTTCAAATGCTCATTTACCATCCTTATGCCTTCTTTGGTGAACTGCCTGTCAAACTCTCGCACATTGTTTTCTGATTGTTGACTTCTATCTGTACTCTAGATTCAGATCTTTTGTTGGACACATGATTTGCAATTCTTTTCTCCCAATCTGTAGCCCTTCTTTTCATCCTGTTACCAATGTCTTTTTGAAGAGCAACAGTTCTTAATGTTAGCAAATGTGTTAGCTTTCCATTCCTATAACAAATGCCTCAGACAATCAACTTACAAAGCGTCCATTTTGACTCGGGCTCTAGAAGTTTCAGTCCATGATTGATTGCATTTGGACCTGAGGTAGGCAGCACATGTGGCAGGAGCATGTGTAAAGCAAAACCTGCTTTTCTTGTGGCAAGCTGGGAACAAAGAGAGCAAGGAAGAGGCTGCGATCCCACATTCTCTCTTAAGTGGCCCCCCAATAGCCTGAAGACTCCCCACTAGGCCCCACCTGTCAGCGTTCTTACCACCTTCAACTCGCACCACAGGCTGGGGATCCGGCCTTCATACGTGGGTTTTTGGGGGCCCGTTAAGAGCCAAACTGTAGTGCTGAGGTCCACCTGGTCACTGCTTTCCCTACAAGTGATGTATTTAGTGCTGTATCTAAGAAGTCCTTGTATAAGCCACTGTCACAGAGTTTTTATCCTAGTGTCACTATCCTTCACTGACATCCAGCATCCTAGAAACCATTTTTGGAAGGGTTTTTCCTGAGCATTTTTGGTGGTTTGAAACATAGGAATAAATTTGATTCATCTTATTCCACTTTCACTAGGAGAAAAACACATTTTTTGGAATCATTGGAATCCTAAAATCTTTTCACAAATGTCGATCTTTAAGGTGGCCTAACAGAAGCGTCTTGAATACTCTGTATCTCTGTTCCAGAGAGAATATTGGAAAATGCATGGCAGTGAAGGCGAACCTTTTAGAGCTTTCAATGATACAAATAGCCCGCTGTGGCAGGTGTCCCATAGGTTGGCCACCATTTGCCTATGGCGACCTTCCCTGAGTTCATACTCACTCAGCCTTGAGGCTTCCCACAGCTTTTTCGTTCGTGTAAGTTAGTGAATCAGCATTTGTGGAATTTTCTTCAAGGGAGTAAGGAGCTACCCCACACACTGTGCTGAGAGCCCAGTTTCTGGTCACCTCCTAGAAAAGAGAACATTTGTTTCTAAGGGTCACACCCATAAGAACTATCTAAACCATTTCAATGTAGATCACAGTTTTGGTTTGGTTTGGTTGGTTGGTTTGTTGTTTATTTGTTTGGTTTGGTTTTACAGTACTGAGGTTTGAACCTAGGGTTTTCACACTAAGCTACATCCTGGCCCTTTCTTATTTCATTTTAAATTTTGAGACAAGGTCTTACTAAGTTACCCAGGCTGGGCTCAAACTTACAAATCCTCCTACTCAGCCTTCCAGAGTGCTGGGATTATGGTCATGTGCCAACACATCCAGGTATAGATCACAGTTTTGCTTTAAAAATGTGCACTAAAAAAAGGGCTAGGGAAGTAGGCCAGTGCAGAGGCCTTGGGTTCCATCCCTAGGACTGAAAAACAAGTTTATAGGATGCTCCATTCCAGGACACATGCACACAGGTACATCTGTTCCACATGGTGCACATATGTGTAGGGAGAACAGTGCCAAGTAAAGGAAAGTTCTCTGAAAGAACAGGTTGACAGTTAAGTGTTGGAATTGGTCAGCTGCTTTAATGACTCATAAACCTTCTGAACCTCAATCTTTCCCTAAAAAATGATTTCAAAGAAAGCAGCTGTAGTGAGGCTCCTAGGAGTGAATGTAATTTTCCATTCTCAATGTTTGGTTCTTGTATGTGAAACATTTAGATTCTTTCTTCTACTATAGAGAATTGACAGTAATCATTTTTAAGCTATCACTAGAAGTATTAATTAATTTCCTGTGGGAAATTAATTAATTCCTTCCTTCTTATGAAGCACATTCTGGTGTATCTAATGAATTTATTGCTAACTTCTATTTGTTCTTAGAGATCAAGGACTGTTTCTGTTATAGTCAGTGTATAGAAGAGAAAATATAAAAAACACGAATATCATCCCTTGAGGCAAAATTGCCCTTTTTTAGTAGAGTATGCATTTGTGATTTTATTTCAGTATGTACACTTGGCACAAATGTGCCTTATGCCTAGCAATGTGGATATACCACAGAGGATACAAACAAAGCAGATGACACCAACTCAGCCCTGGATTAGCTTAGCTTTCACAGAGGTGGCTGCAGCACAATGCAAGGTGGAAGATAATCAGGTGCTGAAATTGGTCCCCTGAGCCATGGGACACTTGATAGCGTGTGTGTGCTTCTACGTTCATTCCTTGGTTGGCAAGGCCCGGCTGTGTTCCGAGACCAGAGGTGCAAATGT